ACGTACGGTACGTAGACGAGAGTAGAGACGAGAGACGAGAGAGACGAGAGAGAGAGACGAGGAGAGAGGGAGGAGGAGAGAGAGAGAGCGAGAGAGAGAGCGAGAGAGAGAGCGAGAGAGATAGATGTTGCGCGTATCCGCTCCGCATCGAGGGTTTGATAATTTGCCGTATTCCCTTCGATAATTAATTGCTGTGTTTGTCGAAATTACTGTAATGACACTTCACTTAGACTCCCATCGCCAATTAATTCGCTCCTCAATGGCGAGGATAATTTGAGACTAAGGGCTATTTGTGAACGTATAGAATATCTGCTCCAGCATATTTGCACGGCAAGTCGATCCGAAATTGATTCATCAGAGTCATTCCCACAGCACCAACTTCAATTATTTGATTATAATCGCGCAAATAATCTTAGAAAAATAGATATTTCGCATCGCACACACTGGGGCATTTTCGGTAAACTACCCAGCAAATTATCTAGAAATTAAGGCGACGTTTGCCGTGACTAAGCGACGAGAGGCGAGGCGCGCGCGCAAACTGTTAGATTACTTCTGGGTCGGCTGCCGCAATATTTGTCTCCAACATACGCCATCAAACGACGAGCTCTGATGTTTGACGGCGCTATTTCTATTCAGGACAATTTCCTCTCCAATGCCCAGAGGACGGCCAACGGATTTGAGCACTTCTCGCAATGAAAATATTAGAAAAATCATTTTGCGGGATTGAGTTTATCTCTGCGCATCCTATACTGCAGGGCACAGACTCGGCGAATCGGACGAGCAATCTTTTCATTGCGTAGCAATTTGTTAAATCATAACCGATTTGGAGACATTCTGGAAAAAAACGAAGCCCCGGAAACAAGGTTCGAGAATTCATATTTGACAGAGATGAAGTAAAGAATTGACTAAAAACAAATAGCTAAATGGATAAAAAAAATGTATATCTGTATCTATCTATTTATCTATCTATCTATCACTCGCTTTATATATATATTATATATAGAGAGATAGATCGATGTGTATAAATTAAAATGCATTTTAAGTAAATAATTAAGTTAATAAAATAAATATAATTTACATGTCAATAAATAATAAAGAAAATTATCGTAAACAAAATACATATTCTCGAGCAGTTCAAGTTTAACGTTATTAATTAGCGTGACTAATTAGCGATGGTGTGTCTATGAAATGGATATATAGTAGCTGTGGGGTTGCTACAGCGCATGCGTCCCCTCAGCGTATTTACCAGCACCCGCGTTGCTCCATGCGCTTTGTCCCGTAATAATACGATATCTATTACACGCATGCGAAGTAATTCTATTCAAGCCTGTTAATCAGAAATAAATAATGCAGTGGAGAAGGATATATAGCGACCCGCGCTCCGTATTGCAGTTTCACAGCGGATGGATTCAGCACAGACACTGCGTGGGTATAGAGTGGAGACGGTAGCTTGGGTGGCCGCCGGGGCACGACGCTCTAGGCAAGAAAATAAACTATAATGTGCCACGAGGGAAGACTCGGGCGCTCCCTAGGCTCTGATCACCGCCCCGCGCACCCGTGACCGTTCGCTTCTCATTGACAAAGGCCCTCCTCTTTCGAACAAATTTATTTCACGAGGCAGTCGATGTTCCCCCTCTGTGAGTCTGATGACAGCGTTTATACCGATCGTGGGGGAAACAGAGACGGGCATTGTAGAAATGAATGAGAGAGGGGGAGGAAGAAGAGAGGGGGAGAATAGCGGGTGAGCGACAGCCAGACAGACAGAGAGAGAGAAAGAGAGAGAGAGAGAGAGAGAGAGAGCGAGATTTGCAATTGGATGGAGAACGATGGAGAAAGATGGAGAGCAAGAGAAAGGGAATGTGGGAGAGGAGTAAAAACTGAGATAAATGAATAGATCGAAAAAAAATTCTATGGCCAGCGGCAATTATATGCACAAGAGACAAAGAAAATGAGTAAAAAAATAATGATCAGAGGGAGGAGGAACACGAGAAGCAGCAGGGAAAGGATGCGGAGAGCTTCTTTTCTCATCATGCGGTTTGCTTCCCTTTACTATATGTGTTACTTCTAACATCTACATCTAAATATCTACACCTACATCTAACATCTTACATCTATGTATTACATCTAACCCACACTCTAACTATCTCAGGCGAAGTTTTCTATTAATATAGCTAGTTTGTATAAGTATTGTATAAGTACAAGTAATTACGTATTGTTTAGCTTTAATTGACCACGTCTGTCACATGGGTATTATCATTGTCATTAGTACAGATCTCTTACCACTGCATTTAATGAGAATTGCATAATTGACAATAACAATAATAAAAAAATATATTAATAATAATAACATTTATAAGCAATTGTTTGAACGCAGTATGTCTGTTTGTCTGTCTGACTGTCCGCATGTATGTATATCTGTATATCTGTCTATCTGTCTGACTGTCTGCATGTATGTATATCTGTCTATCTGTCTGACTGTCTGCATGTATGTATATCTGTCTATCTGTCTGACTGTCTGCATGTATGTATATCTGTCTATCTGCCTGATTGTCGGTTCCTCTCACTCTCCCTTCGTTCAGAGCGATAATGTTAGACCGCCCCCGCTGATATCTCGAGGCATATCCTCTGACGCGATTTTGTATTCTGGACGCGAATATCTTGAATCGTAATGCTCTTAACGCCAATCCAATAACGTAAGTGGTCTTTTACAAACTCCGGTTACTAAAATAATCAAGAAATCTTCTCTGCTCGGTTTAAATTCCTGATTTTAGCCTCGAAAAGTGAAATTTGCATGCATCGCGCTCGCCGCAATCAATCAGAACCCGTCGGCTAAACGCATCTTCATTTAAGTCCCATCAACTCTTTGTTACGGTAATTAAAAGGCGGTATCCCTACACGTGATCTATAATTAACATATTTTCTGCGCGCTCTCGCTGACTCTATTGATATTCCATGCAATATTAACGCGCGCGTCGTATTGAATGGACAGAAATTAAACATCACTGCATGTGAGCCAGCGCAGATGCAACGCGCGGCAAAAAGCTCCGTTGAATTATACAAGACGAGTCGACGTCGAATCCTAAATATTTCATTGCAAATTGTGAGGACCGGGTACAGGGCGGCTCGCAGCGCACGAGGGAGAGGATCAATTGTAATGTTTACGCGTCGGCCGTCTTTTGTGAGGTCCGTTCGGCTCTAATTGTTGTCGGTTTGTTAGTGAAGGCCGGAACGTTTTACTGCGATGTACGGAGCAACCTGCTGCGTTTAAATGGCGGTTAGCGTGCGTGCCTCCCGCGGCGTGCGTGCGATGTGTGCGTGCGGTCCGTAGCAGCAGTTACTTGAGATTGTCGATATTACACTTGCATGCAATAGTCTCTGTCTTTCTCGCTCTCTCTCTTTCTCTCTCTCTCTCTCCTCTCTCCTGCTCTTTCTCTTCCTTCTCTCTTTTTTTCCTCGCTCTCTCTGCTCCTCTGTGCGTGTGCTGTGTGTGTGTGTGTGTGTGTGTGTGTGTGTGTGTGTTGTGCTGTCGTGTGTGTGTGTGTGTGTCGCTCGTGGTGTGTGTGTGTGTCTGTGCGCGCGTGGTGTGTGTATGTATGTATGTGTGCGTGTGTTTCTCTCTCTCTCTCCTTTTCTCTCTCTACTTTCTCTGTTGACATCAGCGTCGTCTAATACCCCGCGCCACCCAACCATTCAATACAAGCACTGCGAAAGTAATAATAAAGCATGCGAAATTCAGCAGACGAGTTGAATGGTTAATTCCCCCGCGTGTATACATACATATCACATATGTATCGATGTAGTCGCTGTGATACGTGAGAAACATGCGTGAGTTAAGATGAGTGTTTACATAATTGCGAAGGACGAACGTGCCACGGCGCTATCAGCAGGCAGCAAGGTGGGAGAGAGAACACGACACGTATACCATAACTCATCATATATATATATATATATATATTATATATTATATATATATATTATTTATTTATATTTAATATATAGTATTTATTTATTTATTTATTCAATTATTTATTTATTTATTTTATTTATTTATTATTTATTATTCATTCATTCGGTATGATATAAGTGCCTGCGATATATGCATACATAGGATTTACTCGGTATACCTACAATTCCCCAGGACTACTACGGTACTCTCACTATAGCATACTGGACGTACTGAATGGAAATATCACTGGAATGATTCTGTTGCTCGGCGTCTTTAACAGGGGAAACCATAGTTGGCTACTCGCCACATCGTAGTAGAGTAAGGCTTGCGGGAAATCAACCAACCGTGGGTCGTATATCTGCTAGCAAGTATCAGATTATTCTCATATTCGCTAACTATCCCGACTAATGGATGGATTATCTTCGCATCTTAGACGTTTTAGGCATTGTCAGTTCAATATGGGCCAGCGGCAATCGACTAGCCTAAAAATTTGCACTACTTGAAGCACTGAGAGACATAATGGATCGGACATTTACTGCATGGGCTCCGTGCATGATGAGGAAAGACTAGATAATTTTGCCCTCGGAAAC